ATTTGTATATATTTGATATAAGCAAACTACACGTGCAAAAGTTTGAAATACGATGAAAATAAGAGGATGAGTGAAGGGCAGATTATGATGATCTGTATCAAATATATTTCCTCTCAGTTAGGGTTGAGAAATTTAAATCTCTACTCCTTTATACCGCAAGAATACTTTTTACTTGTTATTTATCAAATATTTGAACTATGTGTGTATGCGTTAGAATGTGTATATTTGTGCATCTTTTTCTGTGTTACGAAATAACAGAAAGCATGGAATACTTCCAAATAGTCTGTTTGTTTCTTCTTCATTTGTAATTTAAAGCTTCATTAATTTTACCAACATGCTTTGCTCATTTCATCTTTCTTGCAAATATTTGTTCATAGGTATATTAAAATATTTCGTAAACTTGATTTAAGATATCGGGTTGAATGTTCTTGTATTAAAAGCAGATCCGATATATAAGCCCTTGTTATTTCATTTCGCACACATATTATTCTCGTCCTGGTTATTTTTCCCAAGTAATTTTTCTTTGAAAAATGGCGTATTCAAATTTCACCCCAAACGAGTAACAAATGCAACTTGCTTCATTCCGAAGTATTCAAGCATTACATGAAGCTGAGCTCAGCGCAGTATTCCTTACAGGTCGATTTTGCCTTTGTTTCATTCTCTGGGTTTATTCCTTCTACTTCTTTATGTTGGATTCCTGGCTATGGATCCAGTACTTATGATTGGGATTTTGATAGTTTTTTAAATTTGAAGTGGAGTTCGGTGTTTTTGTAGCAGATGTAAAGAACAAATTTTGAAATTCATTGATTGAGGAATGCTTTTTCATTTCATGTTGCAATCTTCTCTGTTTGTTTTGCGTCATCAAAAGGTCAATAATTGCTGACTATGTGGGCTGATGAGTCATCTTCCGAAAGGGTAGTTGGGATGGATGGTTCAGATTTTAAATTTTATCCAAAAAGCGGATCCACGATAGGTGATATTAATCGGGAAAATGTCTATCTTCTAAATTATCTAACTTGTAGTACTTGTTTCTTTTAAATTCTTTAACTTGTAGTTATTAGAAATTGTCCACGAACTACATTTGGGAATGATGGAGACCGTTATTTGGTCATCTCAAAGTGAACCCGATGATCGAAATGGTGAAAGTACATCTCTCGTTATTAACTTTTGAAAAAGTTCTTCCAATATAATTTTTATATATTTATTGATTAATAGCAGAGTGTTCGCAGCAGAATATATAGAATACACGCATATAGTATACAATATGTAATCATAATATATAGAATGCAATAAATATAACAGATAGAATAGATTTTCTAGACTACACGAAATAAGATTGCTTGTTTCAGAAGGTAAAGACGACATTTATATCCAAGGTGTGCCTATTCCTCCTCAAATTCTTGCAGAAATCTTAATCAGAGTTGATAATCCTCGTGATATTGGTTATATATGTCCTCTGGTAGGTTGTTTTTCTTATTTTTTGTTTCATCAGTTTTGATGATAAATTTTATGAGCTCTGTAGCAACTTATGAATTATACCTTTACTTTATCAAACTTTCTATTTTTTTCACACCCTTTATTCCTCTTACGTGTGTGTATATAACACTGTGAAATTTATAAAGGCCATAAGGCAGGCAAATACGTTCCTGCACATTCGGAAATCCGGAATTCATAACTGCTTGGCTAAGTGAATTTGAGTAGGCTGTATTTATAGTGGCACTTGAAATAATGCCATTATTTCCACACATTACTGATTTCAAATTCAATATTTTACTCCATTCTTAAATAGGATAAGTATTCTGTTTTGGAAATGTTGCAGGTATGTCGTCGATGGTACAGTGTTTTATCTGCTCCTGGTTTCTGGATCAATTATATGATATATCGATCACTGGATTTGCCTCCAAGTTCCTTACGAAGTGAACCTTCACTGAATGTGAAGAAAGTTTCTATTAAGCAGGCTTTCAGGCGAAATTTGATCAACAATCCTAGTGGTGGCGATGGATTTCTATCAGAGTTGGGAGATAGCTGAAGACGATGGTGATGGGTGAAATTTCAATTCATTGTTTTGGACAAAAGAAACAAAATCCATTTTACAAATCTCTAGCCCGATGTAGAGGTGATTCAAATAGAGCAGAATAAGCTCAAGAAAGGGACACTTAGCATAACATACGAATTGTATGAGATCATTCTATGTGATAATTTTTTTGTTTTAGACGCGATTATGCACGATTCGTTGCTTTTTGATTGGATTTTACTTATTGAACTCGTAGTTTAGATTCGAAGTCGAGAAACCACCAATAGGTTGCGTGTCAACGGAAGATATACCAGTTGCGTTTGTGACAAGCTATGGTTGGTGTAGTAAATTTCAAGTTATTGATTTGTGGAAGGAAGGAATTGAGGTAGCTGTTTTCCTTTGTCTTTGTTTCTTTTTAAATTGCATATAGTTCAAATTAGTTACTAACGATAACTGGATCATTT